CACTGTCGCGGTTCGAATCCCGCTGAGGGTGTTGATAAGACCAATGCGAGGTCGAAATTGCAGTCCACCCCGGATAAGAACAACTTTTGGGAAAGCAAGGCTATGTGAAATTCAATGGAAACGTCAGCTCAACTCTCTTATCTTTCTTTTAACTACCGATGTAACATAATCAACAAACCTAATAGTTTGAGACCATTCTATTTCATGTACAGTTTCTACCATGTGTTAAGCCACTTCTGACCGTATAATCCAGCTAACTTTGCAAGCATTTTTGTGTTCTCGCAATCTTTGTAGCAGCCGGATCTCGATAATGGGTCATATTTCACTCTAAAAGATGGTATAATAGAAGATAATGTGAGGGTTTCTTTGAACAGCGTTTTTATGCCTCACTTCTTCACTAATTCGCCTATCTTTTTTGAGAGATAACATGACGGCAAAATTAGGACATGGGAAAAGGTCTCAGTGTGTCTTTCTTTGACTAAATGGTCTTCGTCTGAAAAGGTATTCCACAGTAGTGAGATATTATTCTCAATTAGGCCAAAAGGATAATTATTTTCCAGGAATATATTAGTCAGCCGTTCCAACTCTTTAGTCAGATGTTTAGATAGTTTCTTTTTTTCACTCAACCAGCGTGAAAGGAACATTTGGTTCACGATGGAAATGGAAGAGAATAAGTCCTTACCTTTTCTGGATGTTCTCATCATTAAAAAAAGTTAAGTTAGAAAGAGATGTTTATAGGAAGCCAAAATATGTTGACTCTTTGCTTAATTTTCTTTCCAACCATAGTTACAAGACTAAGGTTGGAATTTCGAAGTTAATGATTCGTAGAAGTATGAGGCTAGCGGATAGCAAACATTTGACTAAAGAGTTGGAACGGCTGAAAAATATATTCCTGGAAAATAATTATCATTTGGGCCTACTCAAGAATAATATCTCTCTACTGAGGAATACATTTTCAGACGGAAACCATTTAGTCAAAGAGACACAGACTGAGACCTTTTCCCATGTCCGAATTTTGCCGTCATTTTTTTTCTCTCAAAATAGATAGGCGAATTAGTAAGAAAGAGGGAGATAGAAACTGTGTTCAAAGAAACCT